TAAGGAATCGTTGTATTTACAAATGGCTCCACATTTTTGGCTCTATGGCTTTAAAAATCAGACAACTACTACAAAAAACTCAAGACTCCCGGCGAAACAAAGTTTTGTGATGGTACTACTCAGGAAAAAAAAATATTAATTTCATTTTCATATATGATTGATAGTTATAAAAGTCGCGGGTGTAAGAGTTTTGCTATTCCGTTTGCAATGTCTTCTTGCATGTATTACAAAATCCACTCAGCACTGGTGTAGCTTCAGTTCTACCCGCTCTAATAAGTGTATATTATAAAATGGTTCAACGTTGTCCTTACTTTTAAGTGCACCAACTTGTTTTTCTCGCAGATACGACTCAGACTGAGCCGAAATAATAGCTAATTTAGTGTTAACAACTGAGTTGAAAACGTACTGAAATTGTCCACCGTAAAGAGTAAAAAAGTTGACGTTTTGAGCGTTAGCCCTTCGTCAGAGCGTTTGTCAGTCAGATGGCTAGCCTGCCCTTTTCTTTTGTCTTTAGCTTGCACGCAGTGGATTTTCTGTTGCACAATAAGTAGCGTGAGAACCAAAACACCTGAAATAAGCGAAAGGTCTACTAGGATAGGCCTTCTTTTATTGATTGTACCGCTTTGAAGGTTAACACAAGCACTATGCTTGTCTAAAGTTGGGACCCAATTACGGCAATTGCATTTGAGCTCTTTTGTTGGATTGTGACTGACTCCAGGTGTGTGAGTTTTTAATCCTGTTTCTGCCACTGATTAGTATATCTGTCAATGGTTATATATGAGGTCATGAATGTAAAAAGTTTTGCTCTTCCGATTGCCAAATGTTTTGGCATGTAATACGTAGTCCGCACAGCCATAGTATAGCATGCATATAGTCCATACAGCACTGAAGAGTCTTAATAAAGTTGTGATAACAACTACGATATCGAACTAGTAAATATCCCGCTTACTGCCCCTTTCATCAGGTAACTAGAACGACTGGAACGGCTGTCACGGTTACTCGTAACTGCTGCATTGCTTGGCGGGCTGAGCTGTTGAGAATAATCTCCCGTAAAACACGACTTGAATCGCCATTGGTAGTTGTCGCTGCCGCTGTTTTTCCAGAGGATTATGGCTGTAGCTGGATATGGATTCCGGATTGGCGTGGCCAGTTAGCTTTGAGATCTCCAGTGGGTCGAAATCATAACGGAGCGCTTGGATGACTGTTTTGCGACCACTCGAATTTGAGAATTTGCCGTCCAGGGAGGCAATGGACGCAATATTCTGCATTTGCTTTGCCAATGCATTTTATACAATTGGAATTATCTTGTACCAGGCATTGGATTTTGGGCTGTCAACTGGACTCAGGTTGAAGTTTTTAGGAACGTTATCACCTTCGGACGATTCGGACGATGGCCAACGTACTCGATAAATGCTCTGTGCGGATCTCGCTCTCCACCATCCGTCCTCCGAATCTTGTTGTTATACTTTCTGACCCGTTTTGTCGCTTGACTTTTTTCGGCATTGATACCTCTTTGGTTTTCTTTCGCGATGCTTGGTTTTCCTCGGCAAGATCTGTCGTTTGGCTCTCTTCCATTTTGTTTTTTTCTTAAACAAGTTTTCTCGTACTTTTGAGTGTGAGGGGTTTCCTCAAATTTTCTAAAACTTAAAATTTCAATTCAAAATTTGGCAGACATCCGTTTTCTGTAAATTTGTTCATTTCCAAGGTGATATTTTTCGTAGCACGAGTTGCATTTTTGTTTTCACGATAGCAACAATTTTTGATCGCCATCTGCAGGCCATGGTTAACATCTGATATAAGGTGACTCTGGTTCCATTAGTAATTTTTACCTAATTTATTTATTATTCTTCGTTCAATAAATTTTTTTAAGATATATATTTTTTCCATCCGCACTTTTCTATCGGAATTTTTTTCATCCGCATTTTCCTATCCTTATTCCGCAGTCATCCGGTCCACGTCTTACAGACACCCACCCATACACCAAGAAGTTATAGGGGTCCGCTTCCAACCCCAATCCCTCCCCCACTTCAACTTGCTTCGTTTCCTTTGCTATCTCAGACGTAAAACTAATATTTAAATTCCGGGACGACATCGAGACATTAATTTTTGACTTACTCGTATTCCCTTAAAGACAATTTACTTCTCATATTTTGTGAACTGTGACGCAGTACATCTGCCCAACACCAACCGAAGAATAACCTTAAAATGCTAAATATATCAGATGCGTGAAGCCATACTTGATTAAAACGCAGAATATCCCTTGAACGTTTCAAACACCGACACTAAATTGTTATAAGCCAATAGTGATAAAGTAACAATATACCAGAGCTTATCTTGTATCCACTTCTTCCCTGGTCTGGTTATAAAAGATACTGTGATCTGAAGAGAGAGAGAGAGAACAGAATAAAACAATACTGTCATTAAAATGGGAGGAACGCATTTAAAGTTTCTGAAGTACGGGTACTGAATATTAGCGATTTTCTTACGCATTTTTAAGAATATTGGAAAGTTTAGGCGTCGTTTGCAGTACGCCGATTTGAAATCTGAGATTTGAGCACGCCAACTAAGAGGAGCTAGCGACCGTTTTCTTTGTTAACATTGAAAGTAAATTGCATTAGTCTTAAAGTTTTTCCCACAATAGTTTTATCTGATCTCATCCATTGGTAAAAGAGAAACATGGGAATAGAGCTGTGCACATAGTATTGTTTTTAGAGAAAACATATCAGCTTGCTCATTAATATCGAATGAGTCTCTGGCAGCTGTTGTTTAGGCTCTGACATGCTCTGTCAGATATAGGAAAATAAGCAACGGCAGTGAAGGAAACCGGGCTAAAAACGAGTGATTTAGAATCAACACCATCTATGCTTTTGAATGAGAGTGCTGTATTGTTATGGAATTCTTTGCCATTTATTGCTCTATAATAGAAGCGCGACAGGCGTGACACAATCGCCGTAACCAAAGATGCTGCAAAATATCATTTCTGCCGCAGGCCAATTTGTCTACAATTACTTTCGATTTGAATTGTGCAAGACAAGACTTGTATGAGGTTCTCACACCATCTAGTCAAGGAGAAGAACTATAAATATCCACGGCAGTTGGATGGTGATTCCATGTATGGTGATGCTGGAGAGTCCCTCCTGTATAAATTAATTAAACTCTTCATTCTTTTCTTTTCTTTTTCTAATATAATCTTACTGATATTTGACGCTGGGGTACGACCATCACTGAGCTGAGTCTGGGTCAGTTGTGACCTTAATAACAAGTACAAATACAGAGTTTTATCGACGAGATCCAAGGAGGAGAGGCGCAATTTGATTACTTTATCCATACACTCATCAATCAACATGCTTTTAACTATCTTTGAGTGATACAATTTAGGAGAAATCGGGCTTGTAATTAAAATCAGACTTGTGCTGAGCGATTGGACTATTTGATCTAACTTTCCAGTGCACACTGTCAATCCTCATCAATATTCATTTGTATCAGTATGAAATTCAGGTTTTTCAAATTTTCTCAAACTAGTTCAAGATTATGCACCAAAGCCGACGGGGGTACTTAGCGAGACCAAAACGGCCAAGTCAGACACTTTCACATCAGCTGAGATGAATAAAAATATCCCTAAAGATGAAGTACAAGGGGCAAAATCATGAGACTAAACTATCTAAATTACTGGGCTGGATATCAGGCCGAAGTTCACCGCATACTCACAAAGTTACTTACGATAAGTTAGGTGTTGAAAATAGTAAGACGAAGTGAAATATTTGATGTATTCCGACTTTGATCTTTTGATTACAGCAACTTGCATAAATTTTTAGATCTGACAATTTTAATGCATAGAAAAAAGCGTACGTTGTACTTTGATCTTTCTTCCTTTCAACATATCACCAGGTTGGAAAATTTATATTTATTACTATTAAATTCTATTAATCAAAGTTCAGCCGCCAAAGTTCAGCATTGATTGATACAGCTAGGTCAGTTCGTTTTCTCATTTCAAAAATATATCTTCCCTCGAAGAATTAAATAAAATCATTGATGAAAAGCAACCAAATCCATGGCTACAAGACAAGGCGTGGAAACTCCCTTAGTCTAAATATAGTAGAACATATATCCGGCAGATTTCCGATCAAGTTTCAAAGAATTTCATCTCTCTTATTCCTCGTATCCTTGAGAAGGAAATTAAATTGTCTTTTGCCAATGACTACGCTGAAGATCAGAGCGTTCAGGCTGGCCAAGGGCCTCATCCTCAAGGTGAGTTCATTGATTTGACATCCTTAGGTTTATTGATGCCTAATCTTAAATAGTCATATCGAGAAACATTTCATAGGACAGCATGCTTGCCTTCGATTAATTAATTGATTTTTTTTTAGTTTTTGTTGGCAGCTGTTAAAAAAGCTTTGGTGCATCCTTAAGCATGTCGAATGAATCGTTCATCGCAGCAGCTATTACGAACAGTTGATGTACTGTAAGCTAGTTGCACCACGCCAAAGCTTACATTGAAAAGGAAGAAAAGAAGGCGAAAAAAGTATAAGAGATAATCTTAAAGGCACTTGGCAATTTGGAGAAGAAGGCATTCAAGAAACACAAACAACCTGTGCGCCAGCAACAAAAGCAAGTTTATTTGCTTTTCAATAACAATACGTTACAGTATTGCCAAAACAATATGAATTTTGCCATGATAATGCAACAATGAAAGGGAAAAATACATATTGAATTGACTTATTAATCAATCAATTTGATTATCACATACAATTTCTTGTATCCATGACAAAAATATTTTTCAGTTGTATTGCATGGAAATAAAATAGGCCTTACTACTGCCCAATTGAGGCATGATATCTGCCTAATTTATACAACACATTTGAAACTAGCTACCCAGAGTAAGTTTAAGGTCGATTCATTAGGCAAATACACCTTCATGGCTAAATTCACTATATTCCACACTATAGAAAATTTGCTTTGATTTTGAAATTCTTGTAATTAGGAGAGAACAATAAGATAGATCACTTTTTTCTGCTATTGTCAATATAATGGGAATTCATATTCCCCATCTTTGAGTAAAATTTACTGTTCAGCATCGCAATTAAGCGATTCTGTTCAAAGGAACAGCTGGTTGGGAGCGTGCAGTTGTAGGTCTCTGATGCAGCCCTATAACAATGAATTATGTTCTTGAGAATTGTCTTAAATTCTGGAATTCTTTGGGGATAAATTACCACGTTCACAAGCGAGTTGCTGAACTGCAAAATCTTGCTTAGGTAGAAAATTGTCAAAGAAATCCGAAAACCCAAACCTTCAAAGTATGACAAGTTATTTATCATTTGATATGGAGTCCAAGTTATAAGAGAGGCTCCTGAAACCAAAAATAATGTGTTGGCTAATTTTGATTCTCTTGCAGCTCTGTGATTTCGGATTCCCTTCGTAGATTTCCGTTTGATCCAAATACAGAAATACGCGACACACATGGTTAGCAATGGCGTGGTCTGGAACAAGAGGAGAAGAACTTTGTAACTTGGATGTTTTATGATCCCATTTAAGTGAAGAATAAGAACAGCAACGAAAACCGCTGCTACGATCCACGGCATGGCAATAGCACAGAGGTAATTACGAAATGTCAGAGTTCTGTGACGTAGGGGGCATACGATGGCAAACATTCTCTCCAAGGAAATGACTGCTAGTGTATAGATGGAAGTTAAACCAGTGAAAGCGTCAAAAGACGTTGACAGGAGCCACCGCAAATGAGAATGTCGTGTGCTTCTCCGAGTTATTAAAAGTGGAATTGCGAACAATCCGACCATTAAATCAGCAACAGCCAAACTGATTAATAGAAAGTAAGATCGTTTGCGGGATCTCTGTCGGTGGAATACCCAGATGGAGAAGAAGTTTCCTGTAACGATCAGTACCGCTAACAGTCCGAAAGCCGAACTCCAAAAAATGTTCCATGAGTTGAAATCCATGTTTGTAAGCAATTGTTTCCTTAAGACCTCTCCTGGCTCACTTTCTCTGATTGAAATAAAAATTATAAACTTATCAGATTAGAATAAAATCTTTAGTCATCATCCTTATCACCATGTTATTGCCATAATTGGTATTACTTCACCGCGAAAGATAAAACAACAACTTTGCGGTTGTTTACAAGGAAATGGGCGAAACTATGTTGGAGAGGTAAACCATCTCATTGAGATTATTTGGTTAGTTATGTTGATCTGTGGCTTAGTTGGTTATATCAATATGTGCAATCTATTTCAATGAGCCAGCTTATTACGTGTATATTGAGACTGAATGGTAGCGGAGGACATTTCCCTTGTTACAAAATTGAAACTAACGCTTTGAGATCTTGAAAAGGAAAAAAGAAGAAGAAGAGAAGTTAAAAGTAGGAGGAAAAAGAGAAAAACTGTAACTCTTTAACTCCGCATCCCTGAATTCATAAGCGTAGACCCAAACTTTTGGGTTACAGACAAAAAAAATTGAAACGTCTGCCTAAAAGGGAGTTCCTCAACAGTGCACTTTGCACCCTTATAACTTTACTCAAGCGATGGTACACAATTTGTTCAAATGATATTCCACTGCTTCAAAACCGGCTATTTATTATCGCTAGTGAGGTGAGATATTTAGATACTAATTTTAGTCATGGTTTAGGTAGACTTGGAGAGGCGCACGCACACGACCCGGAAGTTCGAGAACGAGAGGTCTTTGCGACTCTCTATTATGACCTGAGCAGGAATAAAGTATCTAAAGATAAGTTTACTGGTTGAGCCTCGGCGCTGAATGATCGAAATGAAATATAAGGAAATGAAGCATTTGGATAAAATTACTCCTGAATTCTGTGATTCTGAGCGGGAAAACCATCACGTTCACCAAGCTTGATTAACACTGTTGACTGGCTATGCGAGAAATCTTGAGTCGCGTTCCATTTAAACTAAATTTACGAATTCTCGAAATTAACTCAAATGGAGATAACTTATATATCAGATACTGTACAGAGTTAACAAAATCATACTCACAGTTCCTCTTCTCTTGAAAAAGAATGAACCCTACCAGCAGACTAGACCGAGCACTTCCTGCCTTTAGTCAAAAGGGAAAACAGGAACATTTAAGGAGATTAGCGTTGGCAACGTATTCCGATTCTGATTGACATTACTTTCTTTAACTCCCACACACAATTGAGGACGAGGATATAGTCTGAAAACTGAATATGTTTTCAGTTTAACCTAAGTCTCAAGATAGTCATGATCACCTAAAGCCACTACCTAAAAAAGACAATCATTTTCTTTTTCAGTCTATACTAGGATATTGCACCTGTCCTAGAAACTGACAGTTGCTACAAAGATTTTTGTTCATTCTCGGAAATGAATAATTTTGGCCTAACGTCCAAATAAATTTTGTTTGAAAGCATATCTCTCGTCGTTCCCATGATCCATGATTGGTTCTTGCAAATTGAAAGTAAATTTTAAAAAATCCTCACAAAACCTTTTTCGGTTGCCATTGAAGCAACAAGATGTAGTCACTTAGTCTGAAGACTAAAAGCAAATTATGTCATCAGCTTACCTGTATATAAAAGCATTTCATCTCCAGAAAATTGACTCAGCAGCTTAAACCATGGGTTCGTCCGACCTGTTTTTGAGAGAAAGAACTTTCAGTACTCCTATTTCTCCTAAGTTTAGTTTGTAAGTGCATGGGTGAATAACTTCCCACAAAATTGTCCACCCTCTCAAAGAAGTAAAGTATATTAATCACATTTTCATTCGGTACGCTCCAGCGGTTAAGTACTGCAAATACAAAACACATTCACGCTGATGACTGAGTGGTCAGGCGATCTAAACTGACTTTTATTTTACCCTTAAGTACAAGCAGTGGGAAGTGATAAATACAGCTGAAGAGTTATCATGATAATATTGAAAAACTCCGCCTATTAATTACTGTTATACGTATCTATAGGCCTATAGAATGCAAATATCCTTCGCACCACCTGAGTTTACTTCTACCGCCTCTTTATTTTTATCAGAATTTATTAAAAGATACGTATAAATGATATCATAAGTCGCACATCGGACTTACCAGTCAGTAGACTTAATATCGCTTTTTTCACTCACTTCGCTGAGGAGTTGACCTCGGATCTTTAAAGTTCATAGAGAAGATCCGTTTTGTAAGGCTTCTCGCAAACCAATGACTGTAAAAAATTTCTTTTATCTTCTGCGTAAACACTGGAACGCAACCAGAACAATGAAAATGCATTATACACGCACTTGTTAAAATTGTAGAACCAAGGAACAATGAGATAAAGAGAAAATACGACTCCAAATAATGGCAAGAGTCCGAGGGCCAACCTTTAACGGCGAGCGCCAGCATTCTAATGGCAAGCGTCAGCATTAAGTACATGCAATGGGAGGTGAAAAATACAGTTAAAAAGTTATGATAATATTGACAAACTCCGCTTATTAATTACTGATAAACGTTTCAATATGTCCTTTAGAATGCAAATATCTTTCGCACCACCTGAGTTGACTTTTACCGCCTCTTCAATTTTAACAGAATTTATTAAAAGATACGCATAAATGATATCACAAGTAGCACATCGGATCTTTCAGTCAGTAGATTTAATATCGCTTTTGTTCATTCACTTCGCTGAGGAGTTGACCTCGGATCTTCAAAGTTCAAAGAGAAGATCCGTTTTGTAAGGCTTCTCGCAAACCAATGACTGTAGAAAATTTCTCCTACCTTCTGCGTGAAACATCTGGAACGCAAGGAGAACAATAAAAATACATAAAAACCGCACTTGTTAAAATTGTAGAACCAAGGAACAATGAGTTCAAGAGACAATACGACTCCAAATAATGGCAAGAGTCCAAGGGCCAACCTTTAACGGTAAGCGCCAGCATTCTAATGGCAAGCGTCACCACTAAGTGGCAAATACCAAAATCTAACGGCAAACGCTAACAAACGTATTGGTAACATGATTTCGGTTCGACCAGTGCCTCGTCTTCTCACCGGCAAACATGATTCGGTGACAAGCGCCCCGTCCATCACTTTGACAGCGTCACCAGAATTCCGAAAATGGCTTTGCCGGGTGTAAAACACAACGATCGCATCTCACATCCGTAAACCTCTCAGGGAGTTTTTTTGGAACGGAATAAGCATGTCTGTTGGATTAAACTTACACAGGCATTTCGATCGTTTATCCAGTCGCTCAAAATTAATTAATGAAACGAATTGGACTTGACATGGCAGGAGTGCCGAGTCAAATGCCCTCTAATTTGTACTACTAACACAAGTTATTTTTTTATCCTTGTGAAATAAGAAAGAATAATGAGGGTGATTTAACTGAGCAGAAATGAGGTCCTCGATAACATTCCATATTATTGCTTATATATTAGCAAATTCATAAATGGTCTAAGTGAGGGCAACTCTGATCATAAAGGCGTCAAAATATCGTATGTAACGTACACTTTGGAACACAGCTCATCAAACATCATACACATCACGACTCTAACTTTGAACGCTCTATTACTTTGTTAAGAGAAGCAGCCAACTTTAGTTTTAGAATCAACACCATATATAATTTAGATTTTATTACAAGTGACGAATCTCAGCACACCCCTGTGGTACAGACATAGAGGGCCCCCGTTCTGACAATAACTAAATGGTCTGGATACTTTTTTGATTACCTGACTTAACTGAAAGCTCGATTCGGGGGGGAGGGGGAGTTGGGAAACTCGACCTTCATTCTGACATTTATAGAGATAAGAAAGGAGAGTTAGTAATTAGATCATAGAACACAAAGGCTCAATGTTGGATGAATATTGTTAGTTATATATTAGCTTTTAAGTAATATATCAAACATCGGTCTTACTAAAAAGACTTGACCATTACATTATCAGCTTGATTAAATTGAGAGCCACAAAGTCATGGTACTTAAGGGAGCACGTCACGCCATTGCGAGTCCTTTTTTATGGTACAGATAATTAACCTAAGTGGAGGGAGATTGCTTTACAGAGCCGACAAACACCGGTGGCGTATCAAGGGAAGGGGCCCGGGGAGCCCCCCCCCTTATTTTTGTAAGAGACAAAGGAATCGCAGAAGGAAGAAAAGCTGGCAGGCAAGTGACAACCCCCCCCCTCCCCTCCTTAGCCCATGGTCTGGATCCGCCACTGAACTCTAACAAGGTGGAAATAAACGAAAAAGGATCATGTCTGGCTATAACTGGAAGAGACCGACAACGGTCTCCTCTGATCACGCTGGTATGAAAAATATTTCAGCTGAAGTTTCCAAATTTTGTCTGTGAACTAAATGAATACACCTTGTAACTTGTAGCAAGATAGAATTCCGTGAGCTACATTGTTGCAGTCGCTGCGCGCTGGAAAAAATCTTTGAAATTTACACTTTCGATCGCTGTTCACAGGGGTGGTCTGGCCAAAAATCATTTTTGGCTTGTGGCGGCGCAAAAGAAGAGAACTGGAGAACAACTAAACTATTTTTGAAACATGTGTCCTAAACCCTTTTCATGGGCAAAAAATTAAAGAAAACTTTTCTCCGACGAGAAGTCGAGAGGACCGCTCTTAGCGGGAGCGGCACTTAATAGATAAATGCTGTCTTACAGAGTATCATAATCTACTCTAATCTCGATTTGAGGAAATGATTTATCGCTGGTTACCCTGTCGACCCGTTTATAGCATGAAATAACGTAACAGTATACTTACTGTTATCATCAGGCTCCTTAAAAGTTCCATCGCAAAACACTTTGTTTTCAGTGGGATGCCTCTTCATAACACCGTCACCTTTTCTGCTTACTGGGCTCCATATTCGATAAGTAGTGCCAATGGATGGGGAGAATGGGTGTAAACTGGATCCACAGCCCATCTATCAAAATGATCACCTCATTGAAACGGTTCCTAGCAGCCTAATGTCAGCAAATTTAAAATTTGCTAATTTAATTAGGACGCACAGGACATAAAGCTGCCGAAGATAAGAAATATCCTGCTCAAGGGTCACTCACGATGATGCATTTACTGTGTACATGTGAAATAAATTATATCGGAGGGCCGTCTTTGCCAGTCGAACCGAAAAAATGCATGAGAACAATCTGATTAGGAGCGACTAGTTGTGAATCCGCCATCATTGTTCTAAGTGCCCGCGGAAGAAAAGAAAAAAAAACTCGCAGAAAACTAGTATGTCAAAAAGCCACGACTTTTTAAAGCCCAAAACTCACGATATTTTGAAAAAGATCTCAGAGTTTGACGAATAGAAACTCAGTTTCATCCGTTTGATTTCTCTGCTGCCATAATTCGTCAATGGCGGAACTGAGAAGGTACATGCACACGAAGGTAACTCGTGATATCGTCACCTCATTGACCTGACTTCACTATTTCATGTCCGTTCAGGTGAAAGGGTTTCAGTACATATACCATTATTTTAAAAGAATCCGTATTTTTTCGTCTCTTAAAGTATTATGGGAGTCTTAAAATTTTACATTTTAATATTTTTGATTGCGAAATTAAAATTTCAAACACCAAAAAGGCAATAGCGATGAAATGCTCTCTCAAATGACTAAATTATTCGCTTCATTTCCCTTTAACTACTGATGAAGGGAAACAAATGCTTCGCTCAGGTCATGAATTTTTGAACTTCTAAAAATAAAGGTTCTATTTACTTACACAGCGAGGAAACACATGCTTTTGAAAAAGGAGGCACACACGCGAGACCTCTGAGTTATTTTAGTGCTACTAAGAGCAAACAATAGGTGGATTTCGAAACCACTTGTTGGGCAAAGTAGTCTAATGATTGACGTCAGGCCTTAGATACCGAAAAACTCCCAGACATACTTGCCAGACAACAAAAGCTAATTACGACTCAGCCTATTACGGAATTTTAACTAATTAAGTAATGCTGTCAAAAATGAAAACAGGTTTCTGCGCTCCAGTGATTTCCATCACCAAATGCTCCATCTGTCTTTTGGTTTTTTTGCATTGTATTTGCCAGACCAGCGCTTTGGATGGCAATGGAAATTAAAAAGTGAGTGGGAATAACCACTGTACGACACGTCGTTTGTTTGGTTGTATTGAAAGAAACACAAGGTTGATATTGTATTCGAATGACGTTTCAAACTTTGAAAGTATCAGAATGGATATAAAAATAGATCCAGTTTGAGATATCAACCTTATCGTATTTAAGGCTTGTAGAGGTTTGTATGGCTTTCATGTGCCACACTCGCCAAAATGCAATTGCGACTCGCTTTGTAACAGACATAATTGCATGCATTCACAACCATGCGATTAGTTTTTGCGGAAAATTGTTTACTGCCCGTGGGGGCCTTCTACCGCAGTCGAGTAAGAGCGGAAACTAACTGTATGAAAGCAAATAGTTTTTCCATTACATATGAGAATTTTTTTTTCATGTTGAAGAAGACTTTTTCACTTGAATTATGTCGCTCCAATCAAGAATCAATATATTTGCAACAGCGTAATATTGTCGATGCATCTATTATGATATAACGCGCGCTGTCATCGGTTGAAAGAGCGTGCTCTATGAGAGTATAGAGCATAGAGCTGAGCTAAAGCTTTCACGCCATCTGCCAAATTGCGCTATGTTCGACCTTTTCCGGGACTTCTTTTTAGCTTTTTTCCGATAATTGAAAGTGAAATTTCGGAACAAGCGAGCCGGCAAGTAGCAATAGAAGAACCAGAAGAAAATAGAAGAACGTTCTTAAAACGTGAGCAGATACGAAAATCCTCAAAGGAAAAACAAAATAGACATTCCGAGTTTTAAAGATTTTCACGCTCAGTTAGATCGCAAGCTTAAGTACGGTAATAAAAATCAAACACAGCTAACACTTGTATAGTATATAAGCTTCAGTGTTAAAAAAAAAAAAACAAAAAAAAAAAACACAACAGAAATGATGAAAAATATAACCAAACTGGCATAACTGTTAAAATTCATTCTGATCATGACAGTGTCTGAGCGAATATGATCATGCTGAAGTCCATCGCGGCTCACTCATCATGACGATCTCCGATCATCACAGTAAAGCAAGCCTCAGAAAGCCTCATCCTTTCCGATGCGTTGAGTGGAAAGTCACATCAGTCACTGCAGCCGAGTTTTACTGCGCTGTCATCCCGAGCGATCTTCATGTTCCGGTGAATTCGGCTGTCGTTCATTCCAAAAACACTCGCCTTGAGCAGTTTGTTTTCTACCATGTCATGTGAAAAAACTCGCGTGTTTTTATGAGCCATAATTCGGCTGAAGTTTACTGAACATTTCACTTCAATATTCTATATAAGAGACTTAAAAAATTCAGGCAAAAGTGTCAAATTCGACCTGCCGAACTATTTTAGTTTGTAAACTATTGGAGAATGTGAACTTTGATGGTTTGACACTTTTGACAGCTTTAGTCTTGTAATGCCAATAAGATTATTTGAACTATTCTAACAGGGATTCTGATTGGCTTATTGTGGCGTGCTTTATGAGAGTGGCGACTACGTCTTGTGTTTCTCCCTACACTTCTTTCGTGCTCTAGCCGCTTCCTGCGTGCTTTATAACAGAACAGAGCACAGTCAAGGCTTCTTTATTTGTTAAGTAAATCCCTTGCACAAATCGATGAGGATGGGAAACCAATGACCCTCGATTTTCTCAATCTGGTCGTCCGTGATACTCGTCATCGAATCCGTCTTTCAGACTTGTCAGTCAGCACTGAAGATTAATAATGAATATTAGTTTAATAATGTAATATTCCAGTACCTTTCTTACCTTGACGCTTGCTAACTTGTTGACGTTCCTAAAGCTGCAAGACAAGCTGAAGCGAAAAGAAAATGTCGGGTGACCAGTCCAAAGCTCGTTTCACTGGATTGACGGTTGCCAAAACAAGCAGTGTGAAAACAAAGACGCGGGGGGAAAGTGAGCGGTTATTAAGATGGGCCCCTTCTCAATTACTCGTGTCTCCGGAATTTGACGCAGTTTTTGATTAATCGCGTCAAGGCTTGGATGCCGCATTAACTTTGAAAAGTAGCCCGAAAAATGAAATTTTTTTTAGCATACTTTATCGAAGTGCGTTTGAAATTATGCAATTGGCAAAAAAACAAAAAAAAAAAAAAAAAAAAACAAACAAACAAAATAGCAGAAAGCGAAAGCAAAAACTAATCACAATATGGAACTGAAAATTTTCCCATTGTTATCGTCCGGCTACATACTAATAAATAATGGTAATAAGACTAAGTGGAGTCCAATTTGGTCTGTAATCATATAAGAGATTAACAAAATCGGACGACCGCGAAGCGCGAGTCCGATTTTTTTTATCTCAGTTGAGTATGATTACGGACAGAATTGGACGACACCAAGTCCTGTCAACAATTAATCAAAACCAAGACAAAATTTTGGAAAGAATCTAGACATCGGTTGTACATTTTCATAACAAAAACTGAAACAAAAACAAAACAAAACAACAGTTAACTCGGCCAAATTTGAGACAACAGGGCGCGCACGTTCATAGTTTTTCCGAGACTTACTTTAAAATCATTTTCAAATTCTCTTGATCAGTTAACAAGGATGGAGGTATTCTTTCACGCAGTGTAATATAAACTTTATTAAAAAACTCATCTTCGACGGCTAAGCATGACCCTTAATTCAATTTAAAGTTAGAAAAACATTACAATACAATAAATTGTAATTAACATGCAAACAGTTTTTTTCACTGGTTGAGATATTCGTTTTTGACTATTTATGCGTATATTTACAAGGAGATTGGTCGTCTAGGTAATTTAATAGGTGTAAACGAACGTCTGTTCAGCATTTTGTATCCAGAGGTTTTATTCTGAACAGGCTAACGATAGAACCGTGATCCGTTTGGTTAAGTATGCAACCATAAGCAAGGGACCTTCAATGCTCTTTTCCCATCAGCATACTTAGTATGTGGGTCGAAGAAACATTTTATTTACAACAGTCTCTCTCTTTTATTTTTATCATTATTAAGTTATTATTTATCACCGGAGGGGGGAGGTCAGCCGTCTATAACAAAAGATAGAGGGCATACTATCTTTGGAAGACTATAAAGCCTCAAGGGAGGGTCAGACAAATTATATTGTGACAATAGAATATATTAAGGACGATGAGTGCAGGTTCAACTAGATTTTAGAGCTAAAGCTCTTCTATGTATACTTGCGTATCCTACTGATCATATCAATTCCATGATAACAATGAGTATACCGTGAAGGCCAGAGTAAACCTTTGGCCTGTTCAACCTATGGCTCTTGATACGATCGAAGCTGATGTCAGACATTTATCTGTTATGCAAGACATCTGTATACTAGTTATAACATTGAAATTTAAATACCTTCGCAAAAGGTAATAGCTGCATAAAAGCTGACTTCGCAGTGAAAAAACATGAAGCGCCATGATTCTTCATCAGTTGTCTTTTGAAGTTAGTCAACTTTGGTAAGGACAAAAAGAATTTGAGGATCTGGATACTCAACTGGCTGACCTTCAAACAGTTTTGCGTTTCTAGAGTTGTCGCATCCCATGTAGAGGCCGCTATTATGGTGCTTGAACATCGTGAAGCTCCAGAAGTAATCAGGCTCAAAAGATTCATCGTTTCCATCAATGTTATCTATATTCTTTCAAATTGAAGGTGAAGAAGATAATTTTGAATTAAAAACAATCATCCACTATCCTTTATAAGCGCGCATTATTATCACTATTATTTCACTACTATGCCATATTACGGCAACGAGACTCGCAAGAAATACCACGGTGCTGCAATATAGACACAGGCTAAAACACGGACAGAAAGTGCAGCATCAAAATTGCTGCACCAGGTAGAAAGGGATGACTCCATCTTTTTCTAGTATTTGTGGGCGTCAGCTCATCACTGCCAATGTCACGCCACGGAGCAATATAATACGCGCTTCGCTTGGCTAAATGAGGCGTGCTCAGTTTAGCGAAGGGACGTCATTAGTAGCCAACAAAAGAGAATGATAATACACATGCGTTATTGACCAGGGATGAGGTCAATATGGGTAGAGAGTGGCCGGGTGTTGCTTTTATATGGACCGATTCGAGGTCCATAAAAAACGCACAAAAGAGTAACAGCAAGGGTAATATCAAGCCATCTTGACTGAGCAAGCTTGGTCAATAAGGGATTTATTATATAACAAAAAGATTTCCCTTAATAAGAATCAAGAAAGACTTCATTATCTTCGAGCGCTGGGAGAGAGAGCCAACCGTGAGAACTATGCACAGAAATTATGAACAATCTTAGGTCTTGCGCAACCTTTTTTCTTACGTGAAATCGAAGTGGGCAACTGTAGACTTTAAAGGGAACAATGAGACGAACCATTAACAAGAAACATGCGTAATGTAGCGTTTATTTTTTTTTAGGATCAGGATATTTCCGAATCGCCCCGAGAGCTCCTGGAAAAGGGAGAAACCAACCGAAAATTTTCAACCGACGAATCCGCCACTTGGTAGTATATTTTTATTTGTAATATAGCTCCTGCTTTTCTTATCCTAACTCAAACTACATAAAAAATTGTATCATATTGTCTAAATCTTATTTCCAATTTTTGCAGAAGATAACGAGTAACACATCTGCTCGCCATATTGAAAATCAATGAATGTACGTCACAGTATCAATGATAACTAAACCAAGATTAACCTGGAGACGCCCCTCTCTCCTGAACCGAGCTAAACAATTCACACTAAGATTTTATTTTTTTCGGGTAGATCAAAAGTAATATATCCCTTCTTCTGTAACAACCACACAGCGCCCACTCACCCTAATTGAATTTAATAAGCAAGGTTTTCCCTATTGGACACAAGGTTTGGGGAATATCGGTTGGGTATATCCTCGGATATCTTCCAGTTTTAGCAGGAAGATATTCGGTCACCTGATGCTTTTAGACCAGTCGCTCGTAAGAGAAACGAATGTGATGGACTACAGTCGTTTATATACCCTATTTGCTATTATCTAGCTTCTCTTGTTAAATTTATGGATTACTCTAACCATTATGAAAGTTTTAGCCGGAGGATATTCGGTCACCTGATGCGTTTAGACCAATTGCTCGTAAGGGAAACAAATGTAATGGATTACAGTCATTTATATCTCTTCTCTGCTATTATCCAGCTTCTTTTTTTTGAATTATGGATTACTATAACCGTTATGGTAAGAAAATCCAACTCGCCTTACCGATTGACATTCAGTCATTTTTACATTGGAAAGTAAACCAAATAATTATATTCTTCACCTCAAGATCTAATTCTACCCGTCAGGATAGGTTCGTTCTACACCTAACACATAATATGGATTAAGTGTGAATTAAGAATTGGTTTGTGAAGAACGAGTGCCGTTTGAGTGGGCGAATAAGTAAATAAATATCCATTTCTTACCTTTGCTGTGATAGTTCTGCTTGTTGCATCTCCCACCAGTAATAAATTGTCGACGCCAAGGGCAATGCAGCCTATGCAAGCAGATGTGTTATCATAAGACATAACTACGATTCAAAGAAAAGAGACTAAAATTACATATATTTAAAAAACACAGCGACGGAGACAAGTTAATGCAGAGCTAGCAGCGCGCACAAAGCGTAGCTCCATACTTATAAATTCTGGCAATAACTCTTAATAAAGTAAATAAATGAGTAAGTAAAAAGGAGCGCACGAAGAGACGAGAACGCATCGAACGAAATTACTATGCTGGCACATCAACTGCAAACTTAGATGGAAGAAGGAGTCGAGTCGAGTAGCTTATCCGGATTTTCCTCAGCGCCAAGAATGGTTAGGTAACGTTACTCTGGTGATAAAATCTGAAGCCATTCAAACTAGAAACATCATGTAACCTTTAGACTCGACTCGTCAGCCAGTTAACTATTGTATGGCTTGTTTAAATATTCGTATCAATAACTCGCTTTTTTTTCAACAATTCTGAACTGATATCAGATATCTGAGGCGTCAATGACCACTGCACAGATTTATAGACTGCCGGATCTGTAGCATTTGTTTTTGTCATACATTTGTTTTGTTTTGGTTTTTCTTTCTTAAAGAACGCGCGCAATAATTTAATTTGCGTTTAACTTGACTTTGGAGAACCCGTTAATCAGATGGGAAATTTGTTAGACCGCAAAAGTAAACATCGAGATAGAGGAGCAAACTAAATCGTTTCTCGGCCAAAGCACACCTATATTTCCTGCTGTTTTGTTTGATTTCCTCGAATTACAGTAAATGGTTTATCTAAATGGATAAGCTGTCACTTTTCCTTTACAATTCACCCTCAATGAAACTGGAAGATTTCCGCGAGCTTTCGGCTACGGCTCTGTCACTGAAAAAATGTGAGGAATATGAAGATGGCTCCACTCAGAATAAGTGGCTCAGCTTTTTCTTTGATTCGGCATGACGCGCACATGCTTATGTGCGTGCCGAGGAAGCTTTTGGGCGACTTTTTTGGGCCTCAAGCAAAGTAAACCTAGGTATCATCACCGAGTTCACTACAGACTCACTCCTTACCATCAATCATCACCTCCTCTTAATTTAAAACGATTTCACGATCTATCCGAAAAGTTTGCAATCGATGGTATCCAACCCAATGAACATGGCCAACATGAGGAGCAAACACACTTGTTCTCATCTATTGCATCGAGAATATCGATTTGGACTTTTAGTAAGGCGGTCTCAGTGTAGGCGTTTGTGAGCTGACTGGTACCTTACTTAAACCCCGACAGCTCTTTCAAAGATGATACTCACAAACATTAAATTAGATATGGGCAGTTCATAGTTGCGCTAGTAAAAAACAGATCAATCTACGTACTCCCAGCGGCCCCAAAAGTCCCTTTGCAATCTACGGTACCATCATTATTCAACACAACGAGACCACTTTGCCCAAGGTTCCATAGTTGATATTTCGTTTGGATCTTCACTGGATGAGGCTTTTCATAGATGCTTATTGGCGGTGTCGATCCCCTGTCCAAGATAGAAATATTTCATCCTCTAAGAACACAGTAAATAATCATCACCCTCGCGATGCTTGTTTATACAAGATTTGAAAAGGTGAGAATTCATACTATGTTAATTGTTTGATAAGCGTAAAGCTTAAAGCTCCGGTTAAGCTTAAAGCCCCGGTTAGAAGCCTCTCTTGCTTTATCAGTGAGGGGGCGCGGTTGGGATTCTGAGTTAAAATGAGGGGTTCACTTACAAAAATAATAATAATAAAAAGAGAAAAAAGGTTGCTGTTGGTTTAGTACCTTTACAATTATCAATGAGTAGGAGACAAACGATCCACTTAACTGACTAAATATAAGGTTTTGAATTAGGAAGATTTTTTAAACCTTACCCATTCCTCGTGAAAAGTGCAACCACACCACAAACTAGAGCGGCGTGGCTAACGAGCAGTGCCCACCCCATTGCAACCAAAAGCAGCTTCCATTTCCGACCCTACAAAAGTAGACGAGATTCAATGAGCAAGTAAACTAAATTCCTCTCTTCTTTTGAACCAGGAAATGTTACACGGTTATATCAGTCCATTGCAACAGTCTCAAGATATTAACGTTTTAGATTAGTCTAAAACATGATTTGCCTTCAATTTCATTGCTTACCCTTTTTTGAGTAACACATTAGCTCAAAGATTAGCATACTGCTCTCCAAATCGAAACTTGGCTGAGATTATTTAAATTTAAGTATTTTTGCATAAGATAGGAAGATATAGCTTTCCTTTTATTTCACAGTTTCTTCATTTACTCGGAAGAATCAATAAAAAAATATCAGAAGAATATGCCGGGGGATAGCTTGTTATGAACTTGAAGATTAATACCAATTATTAACTATTATAATTCATCGACAGTTTAGCTACATTTATCATAGACAATCTGAGTCGGCAAGTGGTTCATTTCCCGTTGTGTAACTACTTTTCCCTAGTCCTCCTTTCATCATCCGTTGTATTAAATGAATAATTCTTTGATACAATTGCATCAAGGTGGGAAATGGCAGCCCTTTTTCGAGGAGCAAGTGGATCAAAGGCCTGGATACTGCTATTTTCAGGAAAGAAGTACAAAGGTTTCATGGGAGTTCCTAGAATGCAGCCAAAACTAGTAAAACTGACCAGGAATGCTGCTGCGGGATGTGGGTATCAGCATGCTCTACAGGGACAGAGCTATCAACCAGTGTCCATCTGGGCTCCCCTAGAAAAGTTTTCAGGGGAGCGGGGTGTGTCATTAAACATAAAACGAGAAAATGGAAGTTAAATTTGTTTCTTTGCGTTTTGTCTTAAATTGGAACTAAATGGAACTTTTCATTAACTTGTGGAGATTTTCTTTCAGAGACAATTATAATTGGTTGAACGATTTAAAGCTGTAATTAAATAAGATGATATGATTCAGGAAATATAAATTTTAAGTAGAAAATGGGAACTGAAAGGTTTTTTTTAATATTCAGCGGAAATAATAAAAAACTTCAAAATCTGATCCATTCTAATCCGGGCCAGCGCCAGTTTTGTCCAGACCTTGACGTCATGAAACATTGTCCATTATCAAATCATTATTCAGTATTCGTTATTCATTAATACTGAATAATGCCAACGAATAATGCTAATGAATCTAGCTTATGAATAATGCTAATGAATAATGCTTATAAATAGCGATGATAAAGATTAGTTAGCATTAATAATACTATGAGTATTACTATTACTGTGCCGCGATGCGTCCAGGTAACTATTCATCACTTCTACCTTCCACTTCGGTGAATAATTGTTTATAATTATCATTATAATTATAGTTTTATAGATAAATGAGAAAGACGACCCTAGTTTTCCATTTTTCTATTTCAAAATGGATGTCAGGAGGTGGCAATTGTTCTTGAACTAAGTTTCGTGCTGTTTTGATCTGATATTCATCAAAGACTTTCTTACCCTCTTTGTTTTTTTTGAAGAAACATCCCCTTCAGAAGCTCCCTTTGTTTCGTGTTCATGCATTTCGACGGCATCAGCTGTTTGTGAATCCATCTTTATATCCATAAACATTAGATTTATCTACAGTAAAAATATAGTAAAAAGGGATATAGTACTAAACATTAAAAAATAAAAAAATAAAAACAAAATCTAAAAAACAAAATCTAAAAAACAAAATCTAAAAAGCAAAATCTAAAAAACAAAATGAATGAAGCATTCCATATACTATTTTATCAGTGTGATAATTGTTCTTCTAATGAGATTAGGAAACGACGAAGAAATACTGATCGTTCTTAAACGCTGGAACCTCTGATTAAAAAGAAAACGCTCTTTCGTCTTTCAAAAGAAGGGTACTTAGAAGGTCATTTCTGGAACTTGATGCGTCTAGGTTTTACTTCGCATTGCAGAACAAGCAAAAAAAACCAAAGATATTTTAAATTAGTCTAGTGAGAAATTCATCTGATTGGGACCTAAATGCATTTTACGCCATATTGAGTGAATATTATACAATAACTTTACCTATTTGAGGTTTCCTTTCATCCGAACACAAACGTCTAATGTAAAATGCACAGTTTGATTGGCTGCAAAAGCTATTTTTTTATTCATTTTTTCAACTGTTAATTAACCCTGCGACCTTAACTCTCTCATACCATCTGATAATGGCGGCGACTTCTCGTAATATGTGACGGAAGGTTTAGAGCGAAGAGGGATGGAAGGGAAACGGAAAATATAGAACAGCCCGGCTGAACTGACGAACTGGAGAAAAGTCCAACCCTGAAAATCTGCTTGGCTAACAGAAGGCAGAAATATGTTACATATTTTTTAGTTTATCTACGTCATTACTTTACCATTAGTGTAAGTCGAGTCTTCGAATACCTTGAAGCTTACTGACGTGGTGTTGCTTACGCAGTTGTAAGACAAATTGTTGAAAAGACTTCCTGTAGCCTTAGAAAAAACGAGCACAGATAGCAAGAATACCCGTTTCCTCTGGAGTTATCGACAAATAATGACATCAGGTCGCCTACGCCATGCAACAACAACAATAACAACCTTTGTAGCTACCAGGATTTCAAGTTATTATGTAATTGTATTTTTTCGTGCTTTACGCTTTTGCTTAGCATAGGTTTTGCGTCTTCGTAGCCTTTATTACCTTTGGTCATTAAGTCTTACACATAAAAATTCATAAAAAATTCATTATTTATTCTTTTTCTTTCAGATTTTCAGGAAATGTTGCTGACATGTTAATAATTAACTTCTGCTATCAATTAATCTTGATTAACCTATACCTATGAGGAAAAGTGACTTTTATCTCAAGTTTTACACTATGTCGTACTTATTTTGTGTTTTAAATTTTACTTTTTAGGAAAGTCCTGGGTTTCAATGATGAATTTTTTTTCCTGAGAAGCCCATTTTATACACTTTAAAATGACATATTGTAGGTGTTATTCCTGTAAATATTAGTTGAGATATGAATTAAAAACAATGTGGACAAATTTTTGCGTTAATGTGCAGTTTTGCTCTTCCGTTTTCACTGTTTCGTTTTTTTGCATGTATTACATAGTTCACGTGCACAACACTGAAGAGTCTTTAAAAGCTTTTTTTTTTATAATAAGCACAACAGGAAAAGCAATTTGCCTGGTTTCCACATGAGGTCAGGAGGTTTAAACAAGGAAGTATAGTTTGTAAAATTAACTTCTTATCTGGAGCATTGGAGCAACGACATGTTTCACAGTTTTAAACAATTTTGAAGTCTCAACTAAAAAATAAATAGCCAAAGAAGAGGAAGGAGGAGGAACATCAGAAATTACGCTACTTTAAGTCGTTTGTGACCTTCCGAAAGATGACGCAGGGTTTTTGCTTTTTTTCCTTTAACGTCAGGCTTAAGATATCGAAACCTGCCTTTAAATGTTTGCTTAATGACGCGTTCTGTGGGTTTTCGGCGCTTTTGATCCTATTTCCATCACCAAATTATACATTTTTATGGTTAAAAGCCACTTAGATTCATTAGTCCCTCCGAAAAGTAAAACTAAGGAATTTAATGATTGACGTTAGGCCTTAGATACTCAGAAACATCCAGACATACTTGTGGTATTCAACTATACTAAGCTGTAAATGTCAGTGTAACTGGGTCAGCCAGGTAAATTTTCCGTCAAGCTGCATCGGCAATAGTGGACGAGCACAATGAATTCGAATCGAAGGGAAAACAAACGCTTCCCTTAGGTCATTAATTTTTGAACTGCTAAAAGGTAAAGGTTTATTTACTTGCACAACGAGGACACATGCTTTTGAAGAGGAAGGTACACACGCGAAAATGAATGAAAATATGGAGCCGACTCCCCCTCCCCCTCCTTTCCTTGCCCCCTAAGAGCAATACTGGACAGTATTGGACCACTGTGTTAGTTTACTGCTACTTTGAAAAAACAATGGGTGCCAATTGTTGGGAAAAGTAGTCTAATGATTGACGTTTAATGGGGTTTAGTGTTAAGTGTTATTTGCCCATATTTTTTAGTGTTTACTGTTTCATAATATACGTGGAAAAATTACTCAGCTCTGATTGGTAAAGACAAATGCAGTTTTCAGGTAATTCAGTGCAGAAGAAAGTTAACTCAGTGCAGAAGAGGGTTAATTCAGTGCAAAGAAAGTAACAAATCAGACATTCTGATTGGTCAGTAATCAAAGAAACTCACAGATACCCAATAATATGCGACCTTGGATGTCGCAACAAAATTTGAAAATTTGCCAGCGAAGCAATGGTCGGCGTTTTAAGCAGCTGAAAAACGGGTCAAACAACGAAGAAAACGGAAAAAAGCACTGTTTTTTGGCTGTCAGTTTGGAAAAAGTTGCGTTTAGAGAAGGGAACTGCCAGGGAAATCGAAAATTACGAGCCGACTCAGCTTAACACTTTGCTCGAGCAATCCAACGCCGAAATTAAAAACAAACATGGTTAAACCTCGGAAACGACGATTCCATTTCATCGAAAGTGATTCGGACACAGACTGAACAATTCCTTGAACTGTTTAGCTGCACTTTGAACTTTTTTGCGCTTTAAAGATACGAAGATATCACTGCGTATTATTGTTTTGATCGTACGCGATTGTTTTGACCCAACGCACGGTTTGAATAAATTATTTTTGCACTTGATACGCGCGCTTTGCTTATGCTTAATTATAATAAGCCATCTCGTATTTTTCCATGTATATGATTAACACGTAATCACATGATTTTTTTCGTGCAATTTGGAATAAACAAGCTCTTGTTAATTCAGCTTTTTGAATTGATTTTTAAATTACGCTGTCAAAAATGAAAACAAGTTTCTATGCTCCAGAGATTTCCACCACCAAATACTCCGTCTGTCTGTAGACGCGCAAGTCTTGCTCTTTAATTTGGTTTTCTTGCAATGCATTGCATGTCAGACCAACGTTTTAGATGGCACTTGGAGAATGATTACGGAATTTTAACTAATTAAGTAATGCTGTCAAAAATGAAAACAGGTTTCTGCGCTCCAGTGATTTCCATCACCAAATGCTCCATCTGTCTTTTGGTTTTTTTGCATTGTATTTGCCAGACCAGCGCTTTGGATGGCAATGGAAATTAAAAAGTGAGTGGGAATAACCACTGTGCGACACGTCGTTTGTTTGGTTGTATTGACGGTAACACAAGGTTGATATTGTGTTCGAATGACGTTTCAAACTTTGAAAGTATCAGAATGGATGTTAAAAATAAATCCAGTTTGAGATATGAACCTTATCGCATTTAAGGCTTGTAGAGGTTTGCATGGCTTTTATGTGCCATACTCGCTAAAATTCAAATGCTACTTACTTTTTAACAGATGTAATTGAATGCTTTCACAACCACGCGATTAGTTTATGCGGAAAATTATTTACTGCATATGGGGGCCTTCTGTCACAGTCGAGTAAGAACGGAAACTAACCGTATAGAAGCAAATATTTTTCCATTACATATGAGAACTTTGGAAATTATCATCATGTCTCATGTTGAAGAAAGCCTTTTTACTTGATGATGTCGCTCCAACTGATCAAGAATCAATATATTTGCAAACAGCGTCAAATTGTCGACGTTGTGGTGCTAAAT